GGACTGGAGGGTTCCACTAAGACACTTTGACCGGAGGGTCTTATTTGAGATATAGCCATGGGAGGCTAATGAGCTATGTGCAGTATTTTAGGGAACTTACTAAGCTTCATGCGCTCCGTGTTATGTGTTGTAGGTTCTTCTCAGGACCGCGGGAAGGTGCCGACTTGATTGTACACACGAGATGGAGTTATGTTTTGAGGATCTTGAATTTTATTCAAACAATTATGAACATATGTATTGATAATTTGGTATTTTAGGGATTTTTGTGAATTGTGTTGATGAGATTTATCTGATTTTAAAATGAAAAAATTTGTTTGAAAATTTACGGTGTTACATGAATGTTTCGTAGTGAAGTCTGGAGTCCCTAAGTACGAGGGAAGATGCTTGATAATTTGCAGTGATGTCTTAGAGCAGAGAGGATACACTAGTGGTAGCGGCCAGGCTTTTGACAATTGTTTTGCTACACGACCTGTTTCTGAATAGGTCAGTACATGCGAGAGAGTCATCAATAAGGTACAATCTATACTCCAGTCACTTAATATTCTTGTCACTCGTTATGAATCTGAATTAGATGATTTGAATTTTACTGTCTCTAGTTTTAGTGATAGCTTAAAAAGAACACGTTTAAGTAATTCTAACCTAACTGATCAAATCAGTAGGATAACAACAAGAGTGAAGAGAGATGAATGTGGATTGAGAAGTTGGAGTTCGAGTTGACTAGGTCTAGGGATGATGTTATTTATTTAAAAAGAGACAATTTAGCACTTTTAAAACAAAGAAATATTTTCTGGTTGATTGTAAAGCAATTATATTTTAACATTACCTAATTGCATCTTGTCTGTGAAATAGGGAAAGAGATACACATAATGATTTTACCCTTTCTCGAAGTGAAAGAAGATGCAATCGATGCAGAGTGCTATAAGTGCGAATCTATTGTGTCTTTGCATGGTGTCTCTGAATCTTATAAAATTGGACTTGACAAAATTGAAGCATATCTTCAGTCCAAAGAACATAAAAGCATGTTAAAACAAATATTAGATGAAAATGATAAATAACATATTAAATTTGATATTGTGCAAAAATTTGACTCTTTATGCACAAAATTGAGTTCGAAAAACACTTTCGATGTTGAAAATGTTTCTGAATTTGACGAAAGTAACATGAGTGAGATTTCTGTAGAGGATGAGATTGATTATTCGACATTTGTATAAAATGAGTCTAAACTAAATAAAAAGTTGATATCTGAAAATTCAGTTGAAAATGTTCGTATCGTTGAAAATAAGGGTTCAGATATTTTAAAAGCTAAAGCCACAATATTTCCGAAAGTGCGAATCGTCCTTAATCAAGTTTTCGTAAAAACTGGACTGAACAAAAATGACTTGTCATAACTAATGTCCTTAGTAGATGATGATAATGTAGATGGTTGTAATGAATTCTTTTGTTCAGGACCAATTGATAACTCTGCTGAAACCAAAGGTCTTTCCGAAATGATCTCACGGAACTCCAAAGGGAGATATATCGCAAAACCATTGAACCGTGTTAACCCTTGTAATGATAAAGCTAGTCCGAGTGGCACCAAAAATGTCCCAAGTGAAACATCTTCCGAACAAACTGGCATACCTATTAGAAAAGAGAAACCTAGAGCTAACATTCATAAGTAAGTTGAGGAATTAATTGCTAAGAAACGTCAATTGTATGCTAGATATTAGAAAAACTTAAAAGAAAGAAAGCGATTATGAAAATCTAAAAATTCCAATTTTGTTAACCCAGTAAGATCCGCAAATCAAAATGCGAAATTCTCTTAAAATTCAAAACCTAATTCGTTTTCAAAGCCATAGTATTCAACTCCACAAGTTTTAAAACCACAAGTTTTCCGAAACCATCATTTTCAAAACAAGCGAAACCTTTGGAAAAGACAAAACCTAATTTTTCTCCAAAAACAATTGTTTCTAAATTTGTCAACACATCGAAAGATGTTAAGGGCAAAGGAAAAGTTGTTTCAGAACCTGAATTTTCCTTCAAGGAATCCGAAGCAAATTTGAAAAAGGAGGAAAAGAAGTTTACGGAAAACGTAGCCAGGTAACAAATAGAATTTAAACAAAGATAAAATCCTTTTAAAGAAAAGAATCGCAAAGATAATAGGATTGTTGTTTTAAAAATCACAAAAGGAGAGAATTCCACTTTGGTAAAGAGATCTTATTTGGTTGATGTAGCTATAACTATTCCCGTTTTTAAGGAAACCTCACGAGGAGCAAAAATAATTTAGGTTCCTAAATCTCCTTGAATTTTGTAGGTGATTTGTGATGAACAGTATGACTCATAATGGTATATTACAGTAGTTGTTTGCGTCACATAACTGGAAGGAGAGAAGAACTGAAGGAATTCTAATTACCGAAGGACGGAGGCAGAGTGAAGTTTGGAAATAATGCCACGGGAGAGATCAAAGTCCATTCAAAAGGTAGCATATGTGGAAGGCCTTTAGCATAACCTGATAAGTGTTTCTCAGCTGGTTGTAGGTACGGGGCTGAAATTATCATTCTATGATGAAGGATTAGAAATCATTAAGAAGAAAACAAAGGAAGTGATCATGAAATCCAAAAGAAAAGGCAAAATGTACCCATTGAATCTGAATCCGATCAAATGGAAGCCAACCATTTGCCTTCTTATGAAAGCATCTCCGGATGACAGTTGGCTTTGGCACCGAAGGCACTCTCACTTGAATTTCATGGATATCAATAAATTGTACTTAGTGATCTTGTGTGGGGTTTACCTCTTCTAAAGTTTGAGAAGGAACATATATGCTGCATGCGAACTAGGAAAGCAAGGTTGCAAAAGTCGCTCAACTATTGTAAACACCAAAGTAATCAAGCCACTAGAACTTTTACACATTGATTTTTGTGGCCAATCCGCCATAGAGAGCATTTGTGGTAATAAGTACATTCTAGTGATAGTTGATGATTTTTCTAGATTTACTTGGGTTTATTTTCTTAGATAGAAATCAGATGCAACTTCGAGAATTAAGGACTTCATTAAGAAGATTGAGCTCAAATTGCAAAGCCCGTTCTGAACGTACACAATGATAATGGTTTAGGATTCAAAAAACGAAGTGTTTGAAGAATTCTTAACTGAAAGAGGTGTCTCTTACAACTTTTCTGCTCCTTACACTCCTTAGCAGAATGGTGTCATTGAAAGATGAAACCGATCTCTTTGCGAAGCTACAAGGACTATGTTATCATTTGTGAACTGTCCATTATATTTATGGTCTGATGTTATCGGAATTTCCTGTTTCACTTAGAATCTCTCTCTAATTAACAAGAGATTTCTTATCACTCCTTATGAGATTCTAAATAATCGAAAACCTAACATTAAGTTCTTTCATGTTTTTGGTTCCAGGTGCTTCGTATTTAATTCAAAATAACAACATAACTAATTCGATGTAAATGTTGTTGAAGGAATCTTTCTGGGGTACCCTAAAGCATATAGGGTTCTAAACAAGAAATCCAAAAGGATAGAAGAAACCTATTATGTCACGTTAGACGATAACTCTCTTAGGAAGTATCAGAAGACTGATTGTCAAGCTGAGGAAATCTTTCCTTCAACAAATCTGATGATGATTTCTCTCTCAAATCTTTATGAGGAATTCATGAATTTGTTTGATGAGCCAGAAAAGGCTATTTCCTCCGAATCTAATGCCCTAGATAATAAGGAAGATGCGTTGAAGAAGATCATCGATGATTCTGCTAAAGATCTTGAAAATGAGTCACCTATTCTGAAGGAATCTGAAATTCCGCCTTCACCACAAGCTACAAATGCACCTGTTCAGGGGGAGGGTTCTACTTCAACCTCCACATCCAATTGACATATTCAAGGGAAGAATTCAAATCCCAAAGTTAACACTGACATTCCAATCCAAGGGGAGAATTTGATTCCGAACATTGAGTCACATGCAAATTTCCAGTGGGGAGAATGAGAATGAAAATAATGACTCAGACATTCAATCAAAATTTGAAGACATGAATGCATAATTGGACCCAACCTATGATCCGAATTGCCCTCCATTGGCTAAATGGACCAAATATCATCCGAAGTCTCAAGTTATCGGAGCAGCAACTTCTGGAGTTCTCACTAGAGCTAAAAAAAGGGAATCAAGTTGCATTAAATGGAAATTTGCATGTTTAATTCATTCATCTCCAAAATTGAGCCTAAAACTGTGAAGATTGCTCTTGATCATTCTGATTGGGTGAATGCTACACAGGAAGAGTTTAATGAGTTTGAATGTAACAAAGTATGAAGATTAATTCCAACTTCAAATGATGCATCTGTGGTCGGATTTAAATGGGTATTCCGAAATAAGCTTGACAAGGAAGGCAATGTGATTAGGAACAAAGCACAGTTGGTCATTAAAGGGTATTGTCAAGAGGAAGGTATAGACTACAAAGAAACATTCGCACCAGTTGCAAGGATGGAATCTATTCGTATTTTCCTTGCCTATGCATCGCACAAAAATTTTGAACTCTATCAAATGGACATCAAGTGTGCATTTCTGAATGGTGAATTAGAAGAAAGAGTCTACGTGGAACAGCCACTAGGTTTCGTGAATGAGAAATATCCAAATCGTATTAACATATCATGAAGGACAAGAGCTCAAAATCTAGATCTACCAAGGATGAACCAAAAAACTGAGAACCTGGAGGCTTACAAAAGTCCAGAAGATGCGCCAAGAGATGGAGATGAGTTTACTAGTTGATCCTTGGTTCAACAAAGCCCTCTTTTAACCTTAAAGTGACCAAAACACCATCAAAGCGCTCGAAAGACAAAAGAAGAGGCCATGTTTTCGAAAGGAAGGATGGAGGCTGATGATGCCCTAATATTAGAGTTAATGTCTTTAAATATAGGAAAACCCTAAAAATCATGGGTTTAGGCTGTAGCAGCCACCACGTCGTAGCCTCCATCTTGTCATTCTGTAGTGTTCATTAGGATACACATTCCTTTCGAACATCATGCCAAGTCATGGTCATGCACCTACCAAGTTGGGGGTGGTTTTCACCTGCTTCACTCCCCAACGACGGCACCAATCACAACCTACTCCTAATAGCCTAAACGATCCAGATGGTAGTTTAGATTACTACAACAAAACATTGTCTTTGCAAGTCATTTTCATATATTGGCTTCCTAATGTATATTAACTTTTAAGTTGTCTAATATTCCTCAAAGTAGTAGAATCCATATGATACGTAAACAAAATAGGTGCTACAAAGTCTCAATATCCGACCCATGTCTTAAAGGAACACCACCCGCCCACACATATTCCCAATAGCTTGTTGAAGAAAATTTTCCCACTTTCTTTGAAGAAAAAAACCAGATCAACTATAAAAGTGTTGGATAATTGGATAGTAGATAACTAGATATAATAAGAACAAAGTTTCATATCGAACATAATTTAATCAAAAATTGAAATTTGTTAAAAAAAAAGGCAACAATAGTTTTATATTCTTATGTTTTATTTTTTTTCCCTAGTTTCACATGACATTTTAAGTTTTAAATACATTGTTCTTTTATTAAAAAAACATTAAATTTTTGTTTGATTTTATAGATGCTACATAAATTGAAAACAATATGAAAACCAAATATTACATATAATGAAAACAAATATTTCAATAAATGATTTGTTAATACCAATATATTTCCTTTTTAAAATGCAATATATCCAATTGAAAACACAAACTAAATTTACTTGTATATATATAACACTCTTGTGTGAATAAATCTAACTACCTTCGGAACAAAAGTGAGGCTGCCACCAATTACAAAAGAGAAAGTTGTAAGTAATGCTTTTTAACTAATTAATTTAGTTTTATTTTTCTTATTTCATTTCTTGAACCTAGGGGTATATGGAATATTATATTCTACGTTTAATAAAACCCTTGGTTTTTTCTTTGTTTCAGACTTTGAGATGTTTAAAAAGAATTTGATTAATGTCTATTCAACTTTGTTTTAGAACTAAAAAGAATTAACTCTGTTTTTAATTGTTTGGTTAGTAAGAATAATATGTATGTTTTAATTGTTTGTGTAACATTTTCAGCGAACATCAAACATGATGACTCCAGTTACATTAACTTTTCAAATTGTTCCGTTCCATAACTGTGAAAAAAGCATACGAAAAGTTAGAAAGACACTTTTTAAGGTTGATGATGTTACACTAGTATCATTGAATCCTAACAATGGTGAAGTCACCATCAGAAGTACTTCTCAATCTGTTGACGAAATCAAATTGGCTCTTGAGCGTGCATTTCCAAGAAAACAAGTCTTTATATTACAAGAAATTTTCCATGAAGATGAACCATCTACTCTTCGTAGACAACAAAACCCTAATCAAAGTACGTTTGATCTTGGTAGTGTGGCTAGATCATTGCCAACTGCATATGATAATGTTGATGGGTTACAAAATGTGGAGAGTGACTATAGTAGGATCAACCAATCAAGTACTTTTACTTCTGTATCTTCATTCAAATATACTCCTCCTACAGAACCATCACCACATATTCAACAATCAGGGAACTACTATAGTTGGATTTACAAAATTGAAGATATAGATGACGATTAACCAAATACCAAGATTATAGCTAGTTATCCAATTAATATTAAAGGAGGTGAATAAGTTGATATAATTTTATGTTGTTTAATATGAATAAGATACAACTTGCAATAAATCAATGAGACTGAGATAGAATATAATAGTATATACGATTTATATATGATGATTGAAATTTTTTTTGTCTTTCTTCTACAACATAGTATTCTCGCGAGTTTGATCCATATTGACTGATTGACATTTATATTACTTTGATCAATATTGATTGTACGAGGTCCTAAACAATATTCGATTGTACGACACCTTTACCTAACAAGGTTTCAGTATCACTAACATCAAATCCCACATATCTCTTATGCTTGATATCGATTGCCTCAACTAAGATGTGTGACAAGAGCTCTTCTACTTTCACTATGTCGGGCTTGATGTTATAAACAACATAGACGATACCTAAAATAATTGGCCCCAAAACCTACATATCCGAAATGAGTAATAGTCCGAAACGAATACTAAAATTTGAATCTATGCACCATTTTGAACATGTATAAGTTTTGAATATGATCATCAGTTTTGAATTGCTTCTTCATGTACATATAATATTTGCAACTAATGGAATACATACCTATGTTTTATAGATTATTGTAATATAGAAAATATGTTAATACACAAAACTAACCAATACAACCTTAAATTCAAGGTTACGAACAAGAAGAAAATGTTGGAAATTCATAAAAGTTTCTCATTTGTTCTTCTGAACAAAACCCTAATTTGAAGGTATAACAAGTTCGGTTAACTTTAAACAGATTAATACATAAATCAAACTCATCTTTTTTATTGTTAGTATCGTTAACTTAGATTTATAAAAAAAATAAAAATAAAAAATTATTTGAATTTAAATAATAAAAGAGTCAACCTTTTAAAATTCACAATTATAATTTACAATAAAAACAAGTATATAAATACACCCTAAATTAAATCCTTGGTTGATTAGAGTTTTTTTTAAAGAAAAAAAGAGATTATAGTATATTATTATTATATTTATTTCCGTAATATGTTCATTTATATCATGTTGGTATACAAAGTCAAATTCAAATTTCAATATTGAGCAACTACCCACTAGTCTATAATATTGTTGTGCTAAATTTAACAAAAATCAGAGTGACACAGCACAAGCATGGTGGACCCATAACCTATATGTTTGAGACCAAATCCTAATAGGAGTAGATTCAGTTTTTATTTATTTATTTATTTAAGTTTTAACCTTGTATACATCTACAACATGTTTCACATATTTTCCATTTCGCTTCATTAGTTGGTCTATTACCATATACCACTGACGAAAATTTCATTATCTGAAAGTCGAAAAATTAACTTGTTGGATATAATTACTTGAAAAAAAATTAAATTTTAAATCATGATAAAAAGATATATATGATTATATTAATCTTCTAACGCACTCAATATATTAATTTAGAAAAAAAAAATTATACTTTAACCACTAAAATTGATAAATGTTAAATATAGTATAATTTGACCAACTTATTATTTAATGGGTATGGGTATAAAACTATAATATTTAGTAAAAGATTTTTTCATGTAAAAAGTAAAAGCTAAACGAAATACTCATATATAAGTTGCATACCGAGTGCACGTCAAATGTGCCGGTGCCAAGTAAATATGAACAAAATTTCACATTAATGGTATAATGTGTGTACAATAGTGTTCTTGTGGCTTGTAGCATGCACAAATGCCAAAGTAAGAATGTAGCATAAATAAAACATTACTTCTTGAAATTTTATAACTTAGTATTTATTATTCTCGACTTAGTCCATAAAGTTTATAGATGTTTATTATACTTTGACTTAGTAAATAAATTAGTTGCACGTGAGTTCTATAGTTAAGTAATTTGAGATTCTTGTTGCTATGTGTATTTCTCTATAATGTTTACCAAAAATTAATACACAAGATACAAGCGTTAATATGAATTTTAGGACGGAGACTGCCCAAGACTACGAGTAATCGCATCTTCATGCGAACGAACATAGAACCCAATACGACTCCCGTAATTAGATCGCTCTACATTCTAAGCCCCCCCCCCCCCCTCGAGCTGCAAGAACTATCAAGTCAAACCTAACGAACTACTCAACAATGGAATTGAAAGACACAGCTCCTCACCATGGAGAACTCCGGTCTTGTTCTTCAAGGAGGAAGACAAATTGCTTCGTAGGTCCATCGACTTCAGAGAGCTCGACAATATCTCCGGTAGGAACTATTACTATCTGCCTCGCATAGATGAATAGGCCGATCAACCGCAAGGAACGATATACCCTCCATAAATGGGCCTGAGATCCGAATATCACCAGTTGCGAGTGTTAGAGAAGGATGTCCAGAGGACAGTCTTCCAAACTCGATGCAGACGCCGTGAGACCGTAGTGATACCCCTCAGATAGGACCAATACGCCCGTAATATTTATGAACTTAATGAATAGGGTACACCATCCTTACGTGGATCAGTTCGTCATTGTCCTTGTAAATGACTTGCTTATCTACCCTCGTAGTAAGAAGGAAACCATAAAAAGTGGCTGCAACAAACTATGGAGACAATACGAGCAGAGAAGCCTTACCCGAAGTCCTCTAAATACAAGTTTTAGAATTGAAGATTCTAATCCCTAAGACACACTATTAATGATGTGGGAATTCTTGAGGACCCTTTCAACTCAATCAAAACCGTTGAAAATTTATTAGCACCGAAGACGCCGACTGGAATTCATCAAATTCTAAGTCTCGCTAAGCTACCGTCTTAGTTCATTTAGAAATTCTCGCAAATTACGAAACCACTTACGACTTTGACCCTGAAGGGAGCAACCCGTGGCTGGAAAGAGAAGAAGAAGGGAGAAACCTTTAAAACTCCAGGTGAGAAAACCAAATTCCTTTGGATGTCTCACTCTGGGAAAGCTTAATACGCTTCGGAAAGCGTGAAAATCTAAAACCCAAGGTAGTTAGGACCCCCGAGATTCTTGCCAGAATCAACCTTGTAACTCACAAACTCAATCTACCCCGCGAGCTTAGTGATATAAGTATCTATCCGACGAGACTCTTGTAATTCTACTTGACGAGATTGAGTTCCACAAGAGCCTCACCTTAATGGAAGAACCGTAGTGACCATGGACCGAGTAGTCAAACGGACGAAGCAACGCCGCTTCCCATTGGTGAAGGTTCGCTAGAATGCCAACCAAGGACCTGGATTCACTTCAGAGCGCGAGAATCAATCAATTAAGAAGTATCCCCACTTCTTGTCTCGATTTTTCATACCTACTCCTTTAACTAAATTCTAATTTCGGGACGAAATTCCCTCTAACGGGGGGATGATGTGACAACCCGAAATTTTCAACTGTAAAATTCCTTCAGTCAAACACTTCAAATAATAGTCAAAAACATTTTCGTACATTTTTGGTCGGATTTAATCCCCTTTGGTAATTTATTTTATTTTTCGTCAAACAATTTAATAAAATAAAGTGTCGTTATTAGTAAGGTGTAATAAATCGAGCAACCAACATATTATCTAGGAGTTTACGGCCAAACAATTGGTGTTTGGGCCGTAAACACCTCTTCCCCAAGGACTCATGCATATAGCATGAGTTTACACCATTTTTACTCACTTCTCACTTTCCACCTCAAAAACAAACAGACTTTTCTCTCAAGTATCATACGTCCATTCTTCCAAATCCGTCAAAAGTGTAAGTTTTCTTGCCTAGATTCTTTCTTACCACACTTAATCTAGTGTTTATACATCTTTTCATCCATGAATTCTCGATTTTTACATAGATATTCAAGCATTCTTCAAAACACCAAGAACACCAAGAACACACACTAGTGTTCTTGGGTCCTAAACACTCCTACAAGCTTCATAGAAGTAAGTATACTCTTCCTATCTAGTTGTTTACTTAGTGTGCTTAGAAGACCATGGATTAAACATCAAAATCATCGAAGAACAAGTGTTTACGGTTAGGGGATATCCCAAAACCATAAACACCCCTAAAGGGTGTTTTGATGCCCCAAACTCCCTTTCTAGCATGACTTATGGACTAGGAACTTGCATGAACGAACTAGGAACCACAAAAAACGAAAAGGTTGAAGCATACTTGGGTTTACGGCCATAAACCCTAGTGTTTACGACCGTAAACTACTCAAGGTTTGTCCATAAACCGTAAACACCAAAAAGTATGCCATTTCGATCCCTAACCACTTCCTAAGCCCTTGAATCAACCCTAGGACACATCCTTGTGAAACATGAGACTTTAAAACACACAAACACACCATCCCCATGAGTTTACGGCCGTAAACTCATGGGGGAAATGGTCCTCCAACCGTAAACACCCTTAGGGGTGACCAATTGAAGTGTAAACTCCATAGTGAAACCATACACGCCTTAGATGCAACCCTTAGCACTTATAGCACTTGAATCAAGGTGTTTTCATGCATTAGAGGATATTTACTTACTTAATTGGTGATTAAATGACTACTTAGACACCATTATGTGTTACTACAGGTTTCATAGGGTCCGTGTGTGTGTTCAAGTCCTCACTTGACACCTAGCATCCTACCCAACATCTCCATCCAATCCACTCGCTACAGGTGAGTTCATACCCCTTAATTAACCTTTTAAATGTTTATAAATGCTTTTATGGGGGGAATACAAGTTGAATCATGCTAGTTATCATATCAATCATACGTGATTAATAACCCGCATGCAAAAGGATTTATTACACTTTCATCTGTTTTACCAAATATATTACTTCATATGTTTTTTTAAACGTTTTTACTTGTTTAAATCTTTTTCTAAAACTGTCTTCCGTGCTGTATGTTTTCCTTCAAAACCGGTTACAGCAGTGTTTCAAACAAAGGTTTTTCACTTAAACATTCTTATCAAACCTTTTTCAAATCATTTTATAAACTGATATCAAGTCATCTTTTCTTAGTTCTTAAACTTTTCAAAGGTTTTACAAAAACTTCTTTTATATATTTATGTTGTTATATGCACGACTGTATATGTATAGTTATATAAGTAATGTTTAAAGGACTTAGGAAGGCTATCTTGTTGAAATTCCTTTTCCTTGTTGGGATGTGGTTTA